TTGAAAAGCAAAGATTTTGTTTAGGAAGCACAACCCCAGAGTGAGGGCAATTAGAAATAGGCACACAGAAGCACATTACATTAGTAGTCATCTCACTAAAATATGACTCACTCTTCACGTAACATTGGTCATCAGGACCATCATATCGCAGTCTACAGGTGATCCCTGCAAGGTCAGAAGCAGACAAGTGGCAAAAGAAGCAATTTGGTGAATGATTTTCCTGCATTCCCAAATTGGTCCCATTAAACACAGAAAGTGTAAATAGATTAATTTCTGTAGAGAAGAACATATTCCAGGAACTATACAAAACCAAAGCAAGCAAAACAACAACAACAAACAAACAAAAATAACAACAAAAAACTAAAACCTCACCAGGGCCAGGTGATTTCACAGGGGCAATATTCCTCATGTATCAACTAGATTCCATTCCTGAAAAACTGTATCTGCATTACTGTTTAACAGCATACTGGAGGTATTAGTCAATGAAATTAGGCAAGATAAATTAACCAGAGGCATAATAATTGATACAAACAACAAGCAAAACATTTTATATATGCAGATAAAATGATAGTGTAACTGCAAAATTCTATGTAAGCAATGATAAAACCAACTCAAACAATGAAAGAATTTAGTATTACAAATAATAGCTTTCATATCACAAAAAATAAGTTTAAAAGATACAACGGTAGAGAGTATACAATTTACAATTTCAATAACGATGGTTCTCCCTTGAAAATAAACTCAATGAATTTGCTAATAAACTTTTTTAAATGTGCAAAAGTAACAGGAAGAAAATTTACAACTATCCATGAAAAACAGAAATGTAGATTTGAACAAACAGGAAAACACTTCTGATTCTCAAAGAGAAAGACTTAACATTATATACCTGTTAATTCTATGAAAAGTTAAGTTGTATTATAAACTTAACACAATCTCAATAAAAATTAAAAAAAAACTTTTTAAAAGTTAGAAAACAGGCTTCTGCTTCTTCTAGAATTTTGCTTACAGGAAAAAAATAGAGTAGACATACTTTATGTTTCTAAGTGTAATAAAAAAATCTTGAAACATATACTTTTTTTAAATGTGAAGATTCTAAAGAAGAAATGGAGAGAAGAAATCAGGCAGACCCAGGACCTCGAGAACTGAGGAACATCACAGCGGTGGGTGTATTGGTTCGGTTTTATACTTCCATAAAGAACTGCCGGAGACTGAGTATTTTTACCAAATGCTCATCACCTCAATCTAATCATGAAAAACCATCAGACACATTGAAATTGAGGGACAATCTACAAAATACCCGACCAGTACTCTTCAAGAGCGTCAAAGTCATGACACACAAATAAATCTGAAGAAATTCTCCCAGACCACTGGAGACTAAAAAGACAAGAAAACTAGGGGATGGTGAGTTAAGGAGACCAAGGGTAAAGGTGAAAAGATGCAGCTATCTCAGATGAATGTCTAAAAAGTGAATGTAAACCATTAAACAGGTAATAAGTGAAGTTAGTAGCATTATATTGTGTACTGAAAATTTGCTAAGAAAGTAGATGTCTAATACCTTAGTTGTAATTATCTAATGTCTTAGTTGTCTGTGTATTCATCCACTAGAATAAAATTTCAATGTGAAAGAATCTAATCTATCATTTTTACTGCTATGCCCCAAATCCTAGAAAGTGAAGGATGTAATAATTACCTATTGAACATTTTTAATTCATCACAGAAGGTGAATCCACATTTGGTAACATTGTAAACTTGTACAATTAAAAAATAAAAGTGAAAATAGGTGCAGGTACAGGAAGACCTGTAGATTTGGTGACTGAAGAAAACAACAGCTCCCACCTCATGACCTCATGGCAAAGTCATTAACGAATCATAATGTAAGGGAACAAAAGTAGAAAATTTGGAAAAAGGCATATTATGAAATAGCACGGAAAGCCTGCGAGGGTTAGCTGACTACAATATAACATTGAGTGACCATTTTGTTTTGAAATGTATGAATATATGGTGACACTTAGCTGCCAAATTTAATGATGTTATGCAGTATTGGTCATTATAAGCACAACGAAGGCAGGGTTAAAGTGTTTCTAGGAGGAAAAGGAGGGAATGGAAGTGAGAATATTTCCAAGGGGACAGATTTATTCAGGCAATATAAACCAGATAAGTCAAGAAATAAAGATGGAAGTAACTGATAAAGAGAAAATGAAGGGTGTGTATGAGGCTGCCTTTTTTTTTTTTTTTTTTTTTTTTTAATGCGGCACTTAAGCAAAGGAAGCAAAGCAGTAAGAGATGATTGTGAATGAAGAATGGGAAGACTGGATTTTTCATATAAGAGTGTTAGTGGGGCAGGGCACAGTGGCTCACGCCTGTAATCCCACCACTTTGGGAGGCTGAGACGGGTGGATCACGAGGTCAGGAGATCAAGACCATCCTGGCTATCACGGTGAAACCCTGTCTCTACTAAAAATACAAAAAAAAAAAAAAAAAAAAAAAAAAAAAATTAGCCGGGCGAGGTGGCGGGCACCTGTAGTCCCAGCTACTGGGGAGGCTGAGGTTGGAGAAAGGCACGAACCCGGGAGGCGGAGCTTGCAGTGAGCCGAGATCACGCCACTGCACTCCAGCCTGGGCGACAGAGTGAGACTCTGTCTAAAAAAAAAAAAAAAGAATGTTAACAAATTCAAATTCAGGTAATTTCTATATGTTGGTGGCTCAGAAATTGTAGAGAAAGTCATGACCGTGAGCACATAAAGGAAGAGATAGTGAACATTTCAGAAAGCCATGTCAAGAGCACTGAAGTCTCTAAGAACGAAACGAAGTGTTGAGACGGTGAATCTAAATCATGAGGGAAATGAGTTTTTGAAGAATAGAAGAAATTAGCTGAAGCTTATTTAATAACAGAAAAAGTAGAGACTCTGAAAATCTGTAAAATCAGATGTCATAACTTCCAAGGAGCAGTAGAAGCATTGGAGATCGTTGTGGAAGGTGACACTGAGCATCAGGGAGGACGGGAGACCCACCTCTGGAACTGAGGTTCTGGGATGCAGGAAAACATGCAGCTTCCTGCAAAAATGGCTACTGAGGAGGCTGAATCTCCATCATGATTCCTGATTGCAGTTAATGCCAGGAAGTGCAGGGAAATTCTGAGAAGAGGTTGCAGGTATAGGGATTGTGCTGATCTTCAATTAGAGTGTTGCCCCGGGAATTTTCTTGTTAAATTCTACTGCTAAAAGACAATTGTAATGGCAACCCCCCCGAAAATCCTCAAAGAGAAGCCGTGACAGCAGAAAGTAAGGTTAAAGACACACCCAGTCACCACTATTATTCCAGTGCAAGATACAAATCCTGAGAGAAAGTGTCCTAAATGTGTCAAAGCGAAAGACCTTCATTACATGTTCTCTATATATTTTTGGTTCCTTTATAATCTCTGCTTTAAAGCCAAGTAAAGGATAACTTGGTACTTTTATTGTCTGTTACCCTAACACTGCATATGATAAAATAAATATACTCTTTTAGCATTCATGTTTTAATTCATATTAGCCCTATTATAGGGATGGATTGTTCAATGTAGTGGATGAAATAACTCATGGTTAATTAGTGGTGGAAACAGAGGTGAGTTCAACTCCCTCCCTTACCTCACGGCCTTTTAGAGCAGTGCCCCAGTCATCATATCTCACTTAAAAATTGAATCTATTTTTACAATTACAACTTAATGGCTCACCTTTGAGTAAACATTCAAAATCAAACTAATTTTTCAATAACTACAGTAACTCTAGCTAGAATTAACTAGAATTATTATAGTTATGAAAGCTGTCAGAGATAATTAAAATTTCTGGTATAAATGTCTAATTGGCTTCTCATATGCATGATATTGCTTTAATACTTTAACCACTAGTAAAATTCTGATAGCCCCAAGGGCTAAGATTCAGGTTGAAAAATTGCTGAGGAAGTGAGCCACTAAAGAGAATTTGGCAACAATTGGTTGGTGCAAAAGTTGTTGCGGTTTTGCCATTAAAAAGTAATGGCAAAAAAAAAAAAAAAAAAAAAAAAAAAATGCAGTTACTTTTGCACCAACCTATAGAACCGGGTTATTGAGTAGATGCTGACTGCTTCTTAAGCGTCTGAATCCACTCATTCAACGTGTACCTATGGAGCATCTGCTTGGTGCCGGGTCTGGTGCAGGCAATCAGAATTCATCTGCATTTGGATCAAAGACCCCTGCCCTCAAGCGGTTCATTTTTAGCGGGTCAGGAGAGGACCCAGGGGAACCCTGATAACAAGTTCTGAATATTTTAGGAAAATGACAGGACACATTAGAAGGTGGCCAGCGATGTGTGAAAAAGACAACACCGAGATAAGAACACAGATGGGAAAGAAACCGATGAGGTATGAAGGAGGATTTTGCACGGTATATTCAGGATAGGTCTTACTGAGCGCTCGAGGTTTTAGCAAATAGTTGTGTGATAAAGTGACTGACTTCAGTTTTTGCTGCTTGAAAACATTTAAGCCTCAGTGGCCAAATGTTGGTCCTGGGCCTCTCCGTCAGCTTGTCCCACATCTGGACAAGCTGAGAAGAAAGCCCAAGGGCTCCCACTTTCACACTGGCGGGAGATTCAGATCATGCAAGCCCGCATTCTGGGCACCTTTACCCAGCTCCACCCACCTGCTCACCACAGTAAAACTCCCAGCTATGCACCTGTCCTTGCTCTTTCCACTCGGTTTGAGACCTGCTTAAGAGGTTCGCCCTGTTCTGCCATTATGTAAATACACCTTGTTACACTGTCTTGGTGTGTGTGTGTGTGTGTGTGTGTGTCATCATTGCTCTCAACATTGAACTACATTTTGGAGCTGCGAGTCCACCCTTTCTTTGCAGGGGTTCTTAACAAGGGGACAGCTAGGGCGCGAAGTATCTGGCACATTCCTGGGACAGTGCAAATTGGCCTCCGCCTGAAGCGAGGGGAAACATAACTAGAGAAAGAATCACATTGTAAATAATGGGGGTGGGGGTTTTAGATCACAGGAAGCTTTATGGCTTTTTTAAAAAACATAGATTTTACTTTGAATGGAATAAACAACCATTGCAGGGCTTTGAGCATAGGATGGGCATGATTTGCTTTTGTTTATTTAGTTTACAGTAGCTGAATTGAGATATCATTCACATGCCATAAAATTTATTATTTTCAGTGCCTACAATTCAGTGGCTTTTAGTATATTCATAAACATATGGAATGTCACATGAATTTCCATGTCATGCTTACGCAGGGGCCCGGTTCCTCTTCTCTGTGTGTTCCGGTTTTATCAGATGTGCTGCCAAAGCGAGCACCTGAGTTTGACTTGCTCGGCGACCCTCTCGCCGCTGGGTTGAGAATAGCCAGAAGGAGCCAGGCTGTGGAGGAGCAGGGGACCTGGAGGGTGTGCCTGTGAATCCAGTGACAAAGGATGGCGTTTGCAGCTGCGATGGTGAGTAGCAGGGACATGGTAACAATCCATGGGGTTCTGGGTCTTCCAAAGGCAGAGACAACAGGATTTCCTGATGAGTTGGGTGTTGCAAGTGCTGTTTGTTCTGTTCAAAATTAGGACGTCCTAGACAGGAAATGGGAACTGAAAGGGCAGCCAGTTCCCGCCCACAGACACAGAAAAAGGAAGAGCTGTTTTCTGCTTCTAGTGACAGGAGACACCTGATGTGGTGCAGATTCTGTGAAACGAAGGAAGGTCTCCAACTTCCAGGCCCAAAGTCCCTAAACATACATAGAGTCCAGGGGTAGAGCCACTAAATTTCCCCGAGAGAGAGTACCACCAGCCCAAGAACCAAATAGAGACTATGTCCACAGCAGCCACTCAGGACAAAGGGAAGTAACAGACAGACGTCCAAAAACCAGTACATAGTGATGACCAAATAAACGGAAGGCTACACACTGTTTTAGGAATTTGTACTGTGTTACTGCATTGCTGCTGTATTTTGCTTTTCTCTCCTTCTCTGTTGCTCTCTATTTTTCTGTCTCTCCATTCTTCTCTATATTTCTCTCCATTTCTCCCTTTCTATTCCTTCTTGCTGTCTCTCTCTGTATCTGTCTCTCTCCATTTCTATCTCTCTATATATTTCTTCCTGTCTATTCTCTCCCGTCCAGCTTTCTCTCTTTCCCTCTGTGTGTGTATGTGTGTATCTGCTTGTATGTCTCTGTTTCTTTCTCTTTCTATATATATCTTTCTTTCTCTCTCTTAATTTTTAAAGCACTTCTTTGAAGGCTGTCTAACATTGTCTTGGCTCAGTAAAAAACACAGGAGAGTTTCCACACCACAGTAGGTATTGGTGGGAGGCTCAGAGCTCCTGGATTCTCTGTCTGGCCATGGCAGCGCCAGGTTTGCATGGTGCCATATACCCCCAGGAGTTACTGAAATGGTAATGAGGTTGGGAAGTATAAAAACAAGAAGGAAAATTTGAGGACAACCAAGGTGGACAACCTCCCCACTCCAAGATTTTTTTTAGAGCTTTTGATTACCAGAGGCCTTATTTTATATTGCAATTAAGAAGACTTGAAAAGTACCTCATCAAACAAGCTTGCATAAATGAAAGCACTGGGGAGCCAACTGGGTACAGTTAATTTTATTTACACTCTCTCTCCACTCTGGCTTTATTTATCGCCAAGCAGGTGGAAGGGTAGAATCCACCAGAGGGTAAATCACTAGTTCTGTGTGAACGGGAATGTCTTTCTAGCACGTTGTTCAAAAATAGATCACAAGTGAGATTGACACAATTCAGAGTAGCTTGTTTTCCTCCTTAAATGTCATGGTAATGCGCTCCTGTCTCGACAAAGCCCAGGTTGCACAGCCGTGCACAAAGGCCGGGGTTCTCAAGTTCCTCTGGCTCCTACTTGAGGAAATGCTGTGTTCAAATCCAGAAGGAAAATGCCAGGGTTGAAGTTCAGATGCAAAAAAACACCAATTAGAAAAAACAATCTGCTCAGCCCATTATATCCGGTTTAACAACCATCCTTTATTATTTGGGGACATTAAAACTAAAAGGGCCATTGGTGCTGTTATGGAATATTAGATTGATTTTTAAATCCTCCACACACTCAAGACTTCATTGCTTCTTGCCAAAACACAGTCATCCTGCACTGAAACAGAGTTGATCTTTGAAGGTTGATGAAATACACAGGACTGGCTGCATTCCACTGGAGAAGATGCCTTATAAGGTGAACAGAACCCAGGGTTTGTCAAAGATGTTATGATATACTGGGGCTGCTGATATAAGAATATATGGAGTAAGAATTGAGACATAAATTATGGATTTTAAAACTTCTTGAATTTTTTTAAGATCTATAGATCACGCATAAAAGTACACTTAAAAGTAAGATAGAGAGAATGACAGCTATCGTCATTCCAAATCTTCTCAAAGTAAAGATTCTAATGTAAATCTTCTGGGATCACAAGCATTTTCAAATGCACACGAAAACAATTGTAATCAGTTCCCAATAATATGAAAATAAATCAGAGTGAAGATTCCTTGGGAGATGTGTTGAGGGGTTGATAAAATGTTGATATTTAGATACAATGTGTTGTAGATTTTTTTCTGTATTTTCATTGTGTTGTGTGCTATTTATCAAACATAAATCAATTTCAGTTTCTCTAAGACAAATATGAAAATTTCTGGTAGCCATTTCTAATAGAAAAGCGATCCCACCTGTCTCTCCTTTCAGAAAAGCTTGAATGGACATGCCCAGATCAAAAGTAGGATTTTTTTTCCCTTCTTTGAGCTTTGCTTTTTGTGTTGGTTTGTATTTACTTATTTATTTTCTCATTCTGAGGTGACTTTTCTGCTTGGAGGAACTGCTACAAAGGAGTATTTTATCTTAAATTGCATTTAGACTTGGTTTTAAGAAGAACTAATGACATGAGTACTAAACGTTAGAATTGGTACACACTAGTAAGTTATACTCCCATAAAGGTGTTGAATTATGAGTTTTAAGCAGGTTTAATGTGTACCCAAATCTTCAGATTGTTGTATTCATTGTTAGAGCATTTGAGTGTTTCCTTAATAAAAGAGTTTATAACAGAGACAATTTAGTACATATGTTTCTAATTTACTCACACTTAGCTCATTGAAGCCTGATTTTGTAGAAGAAATATCACGTCCAAGAAGACACGGGGAGGCACTTTTCTTGGAAAAAGGAAGTAATGTTCTTTTATTTTATAGTTCACAAATGGACTTCTAAAGATTTGAATGTGTTTCAAATGTATGAAATTCCAAAGTTCATGCATGTCCTAAATTTGGCCAGCCGTTCTTTTGTTTCTATTAGAATGATGTCACAGTGTGGGACTCAAGGCAGAGAAACAACCAAACCTCTCCACCGAAGAAGCAGAAATTGAATTTCCAGTATTCCTTTCTCTTGCAACTCCCTTAGATTGAAGCCAAATCGCCTGCACGCAGACATTGTCGATCCATGATGTCATACTTCCCAGTAATTAAAAAACCAAGTTACAGCCCTGAGCAAATTTAGTAGTTTTTACAATTCATTTTAATGCTTTTTTTCAGAGATTTTATTGTTCTGTAGAATCCTATCAACTCTCAGTAAATAGTATGTTTAAGTTTTGGAAGCTCTGTTTTGGAAGCTAAATCACGCATTCCCTTCTGGATTATTGGAGAGAGAACGTGATGTTGAGTTCAAAGGCTTGGAAGCCACAGACCTAGGTGCTTCCCACATTCTCAGCTCTGTGATCTTGTACAGAATATTTTGTCTCTGTGTTTCAGTTGCTTCAACTATAAAATGAGGGGTAAAACTCACTTGCAATTTTGGTGAAATGAAGTAAAAGAGACCATGCCTGCAAAACAAGGAACAGCAGTGGGCATTCCTAGTCCCTCAGCAAATGCCAGTTTCCTTCTTTCTTATTTCGTCTCACAAGGAATCTCCCTATAATGAGTTTTGCCAGATAACAAAAACCTACTTTTAATAACATTTCGGGGAGTAACATTTCTATGGCAACTGAGATTTATCATCTTATTGGAGAATTTAAAGCATCCAATGGATAGTGAAACTACATTTTGAACTAGAATTTAAGCATATTTAATTAAAGTTTTAATAATGCATTATAGACCTTTGGCCTCTACAAAAAAGAGGAAAATTGGAGGGCGTCTTGCCACACTCTTCTGTTTCTCTCTCCCTGACCGTTCCTTTTATCACGGCCATTTCCCTAAGCATCGTATGTACCCTGAGAGCATGCAACAGAGGCTAGGTGCTGCTCCCACCAGAGCCACTGCTGGGACAGCCACGGCGTGGTTGTTGAGTCCAGCACAAATAATTTTTTTGAAAGAGACAAGATTGGAAAGGATGTGTGTGGATGTCCATATGTATGGTAAATTGTAAAACTGTGTTTTCCGAATACTTCCACGTTTCCACAATAAGGCCATGAGCACCCTGCCCAGGTGACCAGGCACCTGCCCAGCATGGTGGGGTGCTTCCTGGTATTATCTCCCCTTCTTGCCCTCCCACACTGGGACCTAGTGACACTCAAAAGCATGATAAAACCTCTCAGGCCTTTTCGGTGTTGCACTTCACCTGACCCCCAATAAAGTGACTTACCCACAGGTTCTCCCTCTCCCTGCCTCCCTCTCTGTGTGTGTCTCTCTCTCTTTCTCTGTCTGTCTCCCTGTTTGTCTGTCTCTTTTTCTATGTCTCTCCCTCTGTCTATGTGTCTCTCACTCTCTGTCTCTCTCTGTGTGTCTCTCTCACTCTGTCTGTGTGTCTCTCACTCTCTGTCTCTCTCTGTGTGTCTATCTCCGTGTCTCTTTGTATCTCTCATTCTCTCTCTCTCTGTCTCTCCCTCTCTGTGTCCCTCTCTCAGACACCCTCTTTTCCTCTCCCTGTCTCCCTCTCTGTCTCTGTCTCTCCCTGTCTCTCTCCCGGCCTCACAGGCTTGGTGCCTCCCTACCCTGGGCATTCGTCCTGTCTGGGCCCTGTGAGTGTGTCCTGCCCCATCCCTGTCTCTGGTCTTGAGTGGGGCCCCTAGTTCCATGCTCCTCTGAGTGTAACTTCCTGGACTGTGCTGAAGGATCCTTAAAGCCCCCACGTGGGCTCCTCTCCCATCTACCCCACACCGTAACTTAACACAGTGTAAAATCCAGCCCTAGTGTCTACACTCTGGACCCTCTGAACCTAAGGCTCCACTGACATGAGCCATAGCCCTGGCGGACATTGTTCTTGTTGTTCTGAGGAGGCACAGGGAAGTGGTACCCCAGGCACAAACCACAGAACTGGGCCCCCTCATCCTAGATATGAGCTGCTGTCTCCCACTGTCTCTGTCGCTCTCTGAGGGGCCTCCTAAGCTGCTGCCTGGCCCCACTGCTGCAGCACAAACGCCTCCGCTGGGGCCACCTTCCGCCCTGTGTCCCGGTCTTCTGCAGGCCTGTGCTCTGATGGCCACGCGCTGCTCTCCACATTTGGAATTACTTCAGATGGGAGATTTTGCTTCCCTTCTCCTTCAGCCTCCAACCTCCATGTACTCAGCCACCCTCTCTCTCTCTCCATCTCAGAGGACTAAACTCGGTCCGTGCTTCTTGGAGAAGGCAGCGTGGCCCAGCCACACAAAGCCTGGCCATGGCTGCACAAAACTCAAAGGGAAATCTGCCTCTTATTAGCTGTGTGCCTGCAGGTGACTTTCCAGAACATCCTGGCCCTCACTTCCTTCTCTGTAGGATGATGAACACGACCTGCCCCCAGCCGAGGGTGGCCATGGGCATGACAATCACACATGGTTTAAGATTGTTTCTCACCTGTATGCCTCTGTTCTGCTCTTGGTTCTTATATATCTGCCATTTCCTACTACGTAAGTGGCCTTTGTTAAAAATATGTTCTAACTTGCAGCTAATAGTATTCAACTTTATAAATCAGTGTGGAAAATCCCAGCTAAGACAGCTGTCTGCACAAGCGACCTGGAACAGACCTTGCAAATGCAACATTACATATAGAGACAGTGCTTCCAATCTGTCCTACTCATGCTCTGGGCAAAAACCCACGTGCCAATTGTTACTCACATGACAGGGACTACCTCTGACAATACTTGGAGGGGCTTGTTCCCTCAAACAGGAAAATTGAGAATGATTGAACAGTCAGTGAGCAAATTTCCAATCTCTAGTAGGGCAATTATAAAACTAAGACATTACAGAGGAGCTTGGAAAGTAGTTTTCATTCTCCCTTCAATGTGGAATGGATTATAGTATACTTGGGCAGGAGTAGTTTAAAAAGAATCACCTTTTTGGTCCCATTGGTATCTACATTTATGTATTCCATGTACATTCCCATGGGTTCCATGTTCCTTTAGACTCCCTTTAGACTACTTGTTCCTTTAGACACCCTTCCTTTAGACTAGGTTGTGACATCCTATTTGTGTGGAGCCCTATTAGTATTTCTGGGTTTTTGCTTTTTATTTATTTATCTATTTATTTATTGATGGAGTCTCGCTCTGTCACCCAGGCTAGAGTGCAATGGTGCACTCTTGGCTCACTGCAACCTCCACCTCCCGGGTTCAAGTGATTCTCCCACCTCAGCCTCCCTAGTAGCTGGGATTACAGGCACCTGCCATCATGCTGGCTAATTTTTATAGAGATGGAATTTCACTATGTTGGCTAGGCTGGTCTTGAACCCCTGACCTTGAGTGATCTGCCTGCCTCAGCCTCCCAAACTGCTGGGATTACAGGCATGAGCCACCGCGCCCGGCCAGCTTCTTAAATTTTTAAGAGCAGGTTCAACCCTTTCTTTCACAATAGTAAATTGGAATGAGAGACATTAATCAATTTTTTTCTGCCAGTCATCTTGTTTACTCATTGCCTTCTCTTCTTTCCTCTTACGCCTTGTCTCTATAAGAATTCTTTTCTTCCGTCTTCTTGCTCACAGCTTCTGTTTAGCTACAGCAGTGATGAGGGGATAGGTGAAGAACTGAAATGGCAGATTCCAGTTTTTATTATTGCTGTTTCTCAATTATCACAACAACTAAACAAAGCAAGAAAATCACATAAATGGTTTAGAACAGGATTTCTCAACCTCAGCACCATTGACACCGTGGGCAGGATCATTCTTTGTTGAGAGGGGCTATCTTACGCCTTGGAGGATGTTTAACAGCATCCCGGGCCTCCCCCAACCGGATGCCTGCAACAAGCCCTCAACCATCATGAAAGTCAAAAAGTCTCCAGGCATTGCCAAATGTACCCTGTAGGGGCAAAATCAGACTCAGTTGAGACCCACTGGTGTAGAATCAGTATCTTTTCATAAAGCAATGATATTCAGCAAAGGCATTTTCATATGGAGTTACTTGAACTGCTAGGTATTAAACAGTATCTAAAATAATTTATTACAACAGTAACTACAATAAGAGCTCCCCTATTTGGGGTACTTACAATGCACAAGACAATATCTTGAATTCTGCACATTCATAATCTAATTTCACCCCTAGATGACACTGAATACCTCTGTGAGACTTGCATAAACCTAGGCATAATGCACAAACACATTTAGAGTCTCCGCTTCTGTCGCCTCATGGTCACGCTGGTATTCATTGACATAGCCTCAACTTTCCTCACACTATTCAGCATCAATTGTTTCATTTTTAAATACTTTTAACTACTGATTTATATTAGAGTGGATAGTCATTAAAACATAGTTACCTGAAATTTCCTTCCTTAAAAATAATTTTGCTGTTTTATTTTTCTGTATCCTTCTCAGTGTTGGACAACATATTTTTTGTTTGTTTGTTTTTGAGACAAAGTCTCACTCTGTTGCCCAGGTTGGAGTGTAGCGGCATGATCTTGGCTCACTGCAACCTCTGCCTCCTGGGTTCAAGTGACTCTTGTGTGTCGGCCTCCTGAGTAGCTGGGATTACTGGCACCTGCCAGCACACCTGGCTAATATTTGTAATTTTAGTAGAGACAGGGTTTCACCATGTTGATCAGGCTGGTCTCGAACTCCCAACCTCAGGTGATCCACCTGCCTCAGTCTCCCAGAGTGCTGGGATTACAGGCATGAGCCACTGCACCCAACCTGGGCAACACATTTAGTTGATTCTCTTTTCAGTGTTCTAAAGTGATCATATTGTGTATTTAAGAGCATCGTGACCAAGTAAACTGTCACTTTGGGAGTAAAGCGACTATGAGGGTTGCCTTGGTCTATGGAATCATTAGTAGAAAGATACTTCTTCATTACACAAGTTTTCTTCTTCACTGATGAAAACTGAATTTTAGAATTCATTGCAGGATTGTCGAAGAAATAAATTCACAATGTATACAATTCCTGTTTTATATGTCATGTGGCTCATTCTACATGCAATAAAATATATTTTTATTTTCATTAAAAAAAATCACATTTATCTAAAATCATTCCTCCAGAATTGGGTCATGTTACAAAAAAATGTTGTGAGTGACTTGTCCAGCTAAGAGTGGGAAACTCATAATTCATTGTCAAGCCACTGATACACTGGTGGAAGCTGAAATTAAAACTGTGTCTGAAGACAGATTGACACTCAAGGCCAAGTCTCTACCATTGCCTGCAATTGATGATAGAATTTAACTGGACAGGCTCATCTGGACATGTTGAAAAATTATTTCATATCCTGAACTCAAATGATTAATAAGTATTTTATTCCTTTCAATAAATCACCGACATATTGAAGATATATGAACAGGCTTTTCTATGTCCAAAGTGCATCAATAAAGAATTTTCTATACGTTAAGAAAAAAGTGGCTCACAAGTTGTAAATGTTAAACATGCCACTGAATTCCTAAAGGAAGATACAAGAGCTGTCTTCTCCAGCAAAGCTACTGGACTTCCTTGTGTTGTAATAATCATGATAATTAGGACCTATTTCCAGTGTGTTGTGCCTATCTGCCTTCTCAGTCACTGTCTAGAAAGACATAAAACTTTTGAATAAGCAATAAATATTTTCAACCATGGGCTTCATGAACCAATTAAAACTGTACCCAAAGCCAGTAATATACATAGCAGTTTCTGGCCTTACATTTTACAAGGCAGAATAAAGAGTACCATAGACATATTTCTATTTTGAGTGTGACACGCACTGAACAGGGTTGCACCATTCATTTCCCAAAGTAACCTCAAGTGAAGGACTTGATAATATAATAAACAATATTAAACAAGAAAGTTATTTTAAAAAAAGAACAAATTTCACAGAGATTATGGATGTTCCTATAAGCCCGTGGACGTTCCTCTGCACAAACACAATTTGTAATGATTATTGGTCAATAATTCTATATTAAATTGAAGAAGTAATATTTAATAATGTGTAATAAATTGCATATTTTAACAGTCTTCTGTATATCAGATATTTTGCTGAACACTTAGAGATAAGACAGTCATAATATCTCATCACTCATGGGATCTTCATTTGCCTTAATAGATAACCAAAATATTGGATTTTTTACCATCCTCTAACATAAAATAGATAAGACAAAGGATAAAATCTAGTCATCATTAAATGTATTGAGATAATAGTGTGAAGATAGTTTTGCAAAAGTTCTGTCATGTATTCATTTAATAAAAACAATTTCAAAGCCTCTAAAACTATCTATGTACTCTTTGCTGCACCTGTCACTAGGTTCAGAATGTTAAAGAAATCAGACAAGTTCTTCTTTGCTCTCATGGATTATCTATTCTACACTGGGAAGACAAACCTGAATATACACACAAGTGTGCAGGATGATCAGCATGTGACATCGTGATAGTGCAGACAGAGTCTCAGCTGGGCATCGCTTGGCAGCTGTTTTATGTGGCACAGGTAAGAGATGAGGGCTGTTAGGTTTTGCATTTGCTAAACACAAACACAAAACCTGGTGGAACGCAAACTAAAAATCAAAACTTGCCTGCCACTCCTGCATTCCATTACAATTTAAAAATAAAACACTGGCTAGACTGGAACACAGTAATGAAAATAAGTTATCAACAGAGGTCTGTGTTTGTTGGCCAACTGCGTGGGCCACGTCCTCTCCATTGTAATTAGTCTCACCAGAAGCACGTAAATCTGGGCCTGTCCTTTGGCCTTCCCCTAAGGCTCATTACCAGACCTGGGAGGTGCCATCTAAGATAAAATGAGTTCACAGGTCAAATGACCATAGTGCTGGGATTACAACCAAGACCAAATGACAACAAATGAAGCAACATATAACATGTAAACCTGAATTGTTGTAATTGACAAGAATTTTAAAATTAAAACAAAATCTTTAAAAGGATAAAGGAGGATTTTTTAATCTGAAAAAGAAACAAGAAATAATAATCCATCAAATAGAACTATTAAGTATAATGTGTAGTAGTTGAAATGAAATAAACAAACACTGAAGAAAAACAAGTAAGACGAACATAGCTGAAGAATGATGGAGTAGAAAGATTCAACTGAGGAATCCTCGGATAAAACAGCAGAAAAGGGTAAACACTGACATGCAGAAACATCCACATCTGGATAACAGGAGTCCTATAAAACAAGAGAAACTAAAAGAGAAGAGGGCATATTTAAAGGAAGCATGATGAAAGGTTTTATGTTTTACAGCAGTGGTGTTCAAACTTGAAACAAGGTGTCCACATCACCTAGAGGCAGTTGGGACTGCCAGATCCAGAGATTCTCACCCAGTGGATCTGGTGTGGGGAAGGAAACTGTGATTACAACAAAACTGAAGATTCTAGAGACCAACTCTGAAAACCACTGTTTGAAAGAAAAAAGAAAGTCATTTGATTAAATGTAGTACAGAGAATTGAAAAAAAACTGCACATGTGAACTTTCTAATAAAGTGAGGAATATGTGCTGCAAGGATCATTTAAATGCACTCGAAGATACAGAGCAGACTGCCTGCAAAGGGAAAAGTCATATTGATATCACTAGATGCAAGAAAACAATTAAGTCGTATTTTAAAATTAACTTGGAAAATGTAAAATTTTGAATCTGTAATGTTTTAGCTAACCAAATTGTTATGTAAAATAAAGCCAGAGCACTTACGTTCTCAGCCATACCTTTGAAATATCACTTTTTAAAATCAATTTGAGAAACATTTTCGAAGACTTTTTCAAATAAAAGGAAAAATAAATTCATAAGAATTTAGCCAAAAAATACAGAAAATACGATTAATTAAATTTATTAAAATCTATCTTTTTTCTAAAGAAGAGGTAGATTAAAAAAATATATATTCACAACACCTGCAATGGTTAAATTTATGTCAGCTTGACTGGGCTTTGGTGCCCAGTTGTTTGGATAAACACTAGCCTAGATATTGCTGTGAAGGTTTTTGTTTTTGTTTTTCAAATGTGATTAGCATTTACAATCAGTAGGCAAAGTAAAGCAAATTAGCCTTCATAATGTGGTTGTGACTTGTGAAGTCAGTTTAAGGACTTAAGAGTGGTAATTGAGATTTCCTAAAGGAGGAATTCTGTCTCAAGATTGCATCATAGAAAGCCTGTCTGAGTTGCCAGCCTGCCTGGCCTGCCCTGCAGAATTTAGGACTCAAGAAGGCAACATCAACTCTTGCCTAAATTTCCAGCCTACCAAGCTATAGACTTCATAGCCAATTCCCTTAAACAAATGGCAAATCTCTATCATCTATCTATTATCTATCTATCTATCTATCTATCTATCTATCTATCTATCTGCTTACCTACCTACCTATGTGAAGCGCCCTAGCAATTCTGAAGGAGCTAGAAAAAGAAACCTAGGTATAGCCACGTGGTATGGGATTATGTGTGTGTGGATGAAATAAATTTGACATGAGAACACACTAGTGTATTTGTAATGAAGGAAAAATATACATGACAATATATCTCCAAAATTCTAAGGATATGTAAGCCTCAATATAATTTTTATGTTAAAGGTAAACAAGAATAAAAATAGGTCCTATGACTTTTAAACTAAAGGAAAAAGATGTATCCAATACAAAGTTGAAAAGAAGACAGAATAAGAAAGAACATCCAATGCAAAATAGAAAGTAGGTGAGAAACACATGTCTCAATATAACAACGAAAAATCAGGTTTGATTTTTAAAATCCACCAATATTTGACATAATGGAAGCAAACAAGTAACACTGAAAGCTAAAGAACAAAAAATATTACATATTGGTAAAAAAAAAAAATAGATCTAAAGACATAATCACTTTAAACATCAATACGTGTACCAATATTTACAAGACCTGAGAGACTCATAGAAAAAGGCAGAAAAATAACAAATGTAATTTATGATACTCTTCCCTTAAAAGCTTATAGATTAAGAAGACAAAAATAAGCAAAAATGTAGAATATATACATAACATAATTTATAAACTTGAACTATTGTGACTGTATAAATAGGCATATATGTAAAATTCTAGAGGTCACAAATAAAAAAACTTTCTATACATTTATAAAAATTAGTCATGTAATAACCACAAAGCAACTTTCCAAAAAACACCAATAAGTCAGTAACATGACTCAGTTTTAAATAAAAGGTAGCTTAAACATTTTCAAATAGCTCAAAAAAACAATGTTATTAAATTACCATTGGATTCAAAGGAAGTCAAAAGAAAAATTATAGCATATTTAATATGGACTAATAATTAAACACTATGTGTCCAAATATAAGTGAAAGTAGAAGTAAAGTTAAGCTGATACCTCTAAATGTATTTTATCAGGACTCAAAAACTCATCTTTTCAGAAAAAGAGGATATATCAATAAATGAAGCAAATAGTGGAAAAAGAGAAATAACATCAAAAACAAAATTGGAAACAATGAAAATAAAATAATACAACAATATATTTAACACAGCAATTACATAGATAAACATTTTAATCTATGTAGATAAAAATTGTTTAGGAAGACACTGAAGCTTGCATAAACTAATAAAAGTATACATACATTGATATGCTAATCAAAACATTACTTTTCCCAAAAGCCTCAGAATCCCACATTACTTTGAAACAATCCTAAAATTAGAGAAAAACTAAAAGGATAGAAAAAAAAAAAAGTCCTTTTTCTACCCTGAACCATCTGAGAAAAAGTTATCAGCTGGGAGCCCATCACCACTAAATACTTTAGTATCTTTTCCCTACAAGCAAGGGCATCCTCCTAGATAACCTCACTACTCATAATCCTCAAAGTCAGGAAGTCAGCATTGACACATTACTGTACCTAACCCTCAGGCCCAATTTCCCCAATTGTTTCAATGTTTATCATAGTAAAAGGAGCCAGCTCAGGATCACAGGTTGATTTTAGTTAATCATTTCTCTTTAGGCTTCTTTGGTCTGGACGAGTTCCTCATACTTCCCTTGATTTTCTTGATTTTGATGATCTGAAGTTGACTGCAGGATGACAGTTCTCCATGGTTTCTTTGGTTACTGCATATCTTGCAAGGAAAGACACTGACTACTTTTGTTCCAGATTATCATTTTAAAGATGATTGTTTAGCAAATAGTTTTGGAAGATAAATAGAGTTTCTCCCTTGGGACATACTTACTGCCCATTGTACTGCAATTCCTTTTGCATCAACCTAATAAAAGATTCAGGTTCCCTGAGCTCAGGGTTCCTCTACGGTAACGCAACCTGCGGTATGTCCAGGTGTTACTGGTCTTGTTTGTGCTGCTTTATGGCAAATGATCTTAGGAAACCAACGCAAAAGCTGGTTCTCTTACTCCTGTGACTGCTGTGTGTAATGAAGTCTTTGTCTCTGACCTAGGAGTCTTAACGTCTTTTGCCGGCATCCATCACATTGTAGCAAGCTAAAATTTTAGCTTTTAAGCAGAGTAAAATCTCAGACCCTCACAGTTCTTAGAACTCAGAGGCCAATTCTTTGGTAGGGCATCCCTCAATTTGGTTTTGACAGGTATTTTCTCATGATTAGATTTAGGAAATCCCTTAATTTTGTTACATATCATAAAACTGTCATATTAGACATTATGCAAAACTTCTGACATATTTCTTTATGACTAGAAACTAGACAAAAATGTTCACAATCACTTCTGCTATGCTGGAAAGAAAGAATTACAATAGTTATTCTTTGTGGATGATATGATCATCCACAAAGAAAAGTCAAAAAATCAATTATTAATATTAGAATAAACACAATAGTTTATCAAGGTCACTTTACAATGACCAGTTTACAAAAACTAATAATATTTATCTTCACTAACAATACAAAATTAGAAAATAAAATAATACATAAGATATTTGCATTCATGGTAAAAACTGTAATATTTTTAAAGAATTGACTAAAGAAAGAAGTCAAAAACCTCCCTGGGGAAAAATCCTTTATGTATTAAAGGAACTTATAGATTTGAATAGAAGGAGAAACATTCAATGATTCATTAGTATTTTTAGTTTCTAAGTATTATCAAATGATGATTAGCCACGTACTAGAAGGCCAGTTCCATATAGGCCTATCAAATCGTTAAGTGTGTTTTTTTTTTTTTAGGAAAAAAAAATAGTATACACGAATATTTATTCTTTTTACTCATCTCTAGATTTTTTTGTGTCTGTCTTTTCCTGTTTCAGGGTAGTGATCCGGAGTAACCACCATTGCCAACTCTCTAACAAATTAACAGCGTCTAAAACACAACTGCCCATGCCTCTGAGTGAGTACAGTGTGAAAAAAGTTTGTCAATATTAGTTTGCAAATCAGAGTTCTAATGGGATGTCTATCCACTTTACAGTCAAGTTAATAAGAGAGTCAGAGAGAGGAAGAAGAGGAAAACATGTGATGGTGGCACCCTGGGGTGATGCCAGTGGTTATTTAGCTTGTAACTAAACGTCATCTGCCCCACTCTTTCACCCAGCTTCTCCTCATCGGAGGGTGCAGGAGTGGGCACCGCAGCATACATACATGTGTAGTTGACCATTCCACGTTGCCATTTCTCCCTGCTGGTGCACTCCTGCTGCTGTTAACAGTGGAGGGAGAGCTAGCCTAATGAATTATGACGGGAACATCGCTATGGTTTAGAATTCCCTATAGGAAACACTGTCGTGATTTTGAGGGGATAGAATTAAAAATTAATATTTTAAATATATTAAATCCATATACTTTGACATTTAATATTTTTATTATTAATTTTAAAATACATGAAGCTTCAGACAAATTATTTTTAATTATTTATTTTGATATTCATGGAGAGAAAATTTGTGGTAAAGCACTACTCTATCTACACTGAAATACTTTATTTAAAGTTATTGAATGCTTCTAAGCAAGGTAGTTTAGAGAATTTTGAACTATCTATGCAGTGGTTTTTTAAGATTCCTAGAAAAGAATTATGCTAAATAACAGGCTTTTTGAGCACTGATAATGATACTAAGTTACTTATTTAAATGTGTCTTTCTGCCAAGACCAAGATCCTTGAGAGCAGATTCTTAAATGCAGCATCTTGGTTACCTTTGCTGACTTATTTTTTAATTTCTTTATGTTTATCTTTGTTTACTTACACCTAGTAGGTGCTCAATAGACTTTGTCCAAACAAAATGACACCTTGTGGTTGACCAGTGTCTCATTATCAGGCAGCTTGCCCTGGAGAAAAATAGAGAGGTTGGTTTAAATCCAGACGCTCTGAGAATTAGCTAAGTGATTTACCTCTGCCAAGTAGGAACTATAAATACTATCAGACTAAAAGCACCCATTGCATACCTACTGTGTACTGAGCATCATTCGATTGGCACACCTACTCAATAACTGTGAACAGATGGAATTAGCGCATGGAAAAGAACATGTGTTTTTCCCTGTCCATCCACACATACCAACCTAGAAAAATAGAATTCTCCATCATGGTATTTTTTTTTTTTTCTAACAAGGACATCGACAAATGTATTAGTCAAACTTGGAGTCCCTCCAACACTAAAGCTTACTTCTAAATTTAGAACTAATGAGTTCTCTGTGTGTACCAAAGTAGGAAGCATATATTCTCTCTGTTAGCACTGAGGCCTTTTATTCGACATAACTCTATTGCCAAAGAGAATATAAATGTTTCTTCTTTAGTGTTACTGGCTTGCAAAACTCAGTCATTGGGAAAAACTGAACATTAGGGAAGAATGATAGGTTTGTAGAGAACATTCACTTCAGAGAATGATAGAACCCTCCATTTAGCAGGTCTTTGAAAGATCCCCCAGCCCAGTGCTTCCTAACAGCTAGAATTCCTTTTAAAATTACTCTCAGGGTGATGGCCAGTGATCTACCTGCCTCCAGCACCAAGGCATCTCCATCCACATCTGAGCTGCTTCAATGGCGGGTCCACCTGGCACAAAACCAAACTCATTTTTGCTATTGCCTCCCTAGTGATTTCTGAGTTTACTTTTTGGGACACACAGACTGAGGACTCTTCCCGACAACACTTTCTTCCTGCTTGATGACAAACAACTACCGCATGTTCCCCTCTCCTGGTTTCTCTTCTCCATGCCCAAAACTTGTATTTCTTAACCCTTCCTCAGTGCCTCAATTTCCAGCTGCTTTATCCTTCTGGCCACATTCTTGTCATGCTCCCAATAATACAACTTATGAAAGATGGATATCATGACATTTAAAAGAAGTTAACGGTGGCAGAAATATAAAAAATGAATTATTAGGGAAGGTACTCAGGTCACAGCTACTTGTTACGGCAGAAATGAGTGATTTTTAAAATCACACTTGAGAGTAAATCCATGACGATTTTACTTACAGAATAAAAGGAAGTAATAATATTCGAGAACTGGGAGATGAAAGACCCAAAAACACCTTTGAGACCTACTTTGGGAGGTTAGTGGAAAATTATACTATTAATTGTAAACCAGAATATAAAGAATAGGGTCAATTTACCCATAGGAAGAAAGACATACTTCATTGAATGTGTTCTGTTAAATGCTTATAAAATTCCCGGGTGGATGATTCTGTAGACTAGTTAACATATCTATACCTTGGTTATATAGGAAAGCATCTGTAACCTGGTGTCTCCCAAGCCAAGCCCCGCAGCCGTGTTTAAGGAATTTAGGGTGCTGAAATGTAACTGAATTCTTCTTTTCACAAATGTCTGCTCTTTTCTGTTGAATCACAATCACAGGCACCATCATCCAGTTAACCTTTCAAGTGATAAAACTGGTACTTTTCCATGACTTATCTTTGTTAAAAAAATTCAATCAGTTGCCAGATTTCCTCAATCTCAAAAATGTCTATCAAATCTTATGCTTTGCTGCATTTGAACACCACTGCATTAGCTCTTCCTCCAGCCACCAGTCTTTTTTTTTTTAATTTTTAATTTTTTAGTACACTTTAAGTTCTAGGGTACATGTGCATAACGTACAGGTTTGTTACATATGTATACTTGTGCCATGTTGGTGTGCTGCACCCATCAACTCGTCAGCACCCATCTACTCATCATTTACATCAGGTATAACTCCCAATGCAATCCCTCCCCCCTCCCCCCTCCCCATGATAGGCCCCGGTGTGTGATGTTCCTCTTCCCGAGTCCAAGTGATCTCATTGTTCAGTTCCCACCTACGAGTGAGAACATGCGGTGTTTGGTTTTCTGTTCTTGTGATAGTTTGCTAAGAATGATGGTTTCCAGCTGCATCCATGTCCCTACAAAGGACTCAAACTCATCGTTTTTATGGCTGCATAGTATTCCATGGTGTATATGTGCCACATTTTCTTAATCCAGTCTGTCACTGATGGACATTTGGGTTGATTCCAAGTCTTTGCTATTGTGAATAGTGCTGTAATAAACATACGTGTGCATGTGTCTTTATAGCAGCATGATTTATAATCCTTTGGGTATATACCCAGTAATGGGATGGCTGGGTCATATGGTACATCTAGTTCTAGATCCTTGAGGAATCGCCATACTGTTTTCCATAATGGTTGAACTAGTTTACAATCCCACCAACAGTGTAAAAGTGTTCCTATTTCTCCACATCCTCTCCAGCACCTGTTGTTTCCTGACTTTTTAATGATCGCCATTCTAACTGGTGTGAGATGGTATCTCATTGTGGTTTTGATTTGCATTTCTCTGATGGCCAGTGATGATGAGTATTTTTTCATGTGTCTATTGGCTGTATGAATGTTTTCTTTTGAGAAATGTCTGTTCATATCCTTTGCCCACTTTTTGATAGGGTTGTTTGTTTTTTTCTTGTAAATTTGTTTGAGTTCTTTGTAGGTTCTGGATATTCGCCCTTTGTCAGATGAGTAGATTGCAAAAATTTTCTCCCATTCTGTAGGTTGCCTGTTCACTCTGATGGTAGTTTCTTTTGCTGTGCAGAAGCTCTTTAGTTTAATTAGATCCCATTTGTCAATTTTCAGCCACCAGTCTTTAGTGTCTCGTGTTGGTCCGTGGTTTCCTACCTGCCCCCTTGACAGGTTTCCCAGTGGGGATGGGGCCCAGCCTCGATAGTCCTGCAAGAGCACAGAGCTAAATGCTCAATAATTTTGTAAGCTGGTGAAACAGGTGCTAGCTTGAAACTGACCATAAGAAGGAACAATACACTCTGGAGCCTACTTGAGGGTGGAGGGTGGGAGGAGGGAAAGGATCAGAAAAAAATAACTAATGGGTCCTAGACTTAGTATCTGATGAAATAATCTGTACATCAATCCCCTGTGGCATGGCTTACCTATGTAACAAACCTACACATGTGTCCCTGAGCCTAAAATAAAAGTTAAAAAGAGGGCCAGGCACCGTGGCTCATGCCTGTAATCCCAGCACTTTGGGAGGCCAAGGCGGGCGGATCACCTCAGATCAAGAGTTCAAGACCAGCCTGACAAACATGGAGAAACTCCGAGTTTACTAAAAATACAAAATTAGCCGAGCATGGTGGTGCAGGCCTGTAGTCCCAGCTACTTGGGAGGCTGAGGCAGGAGAACCACTTGAACCCGGGAGGCAGAGGTTGCAGTGAGCTGAGATTGTGCCATTGCCCTCCAGCCTGGGCAATAAGAGTAAAACTTCGTCTCAAAAAAAAGCTAAAAAAAGAAAATATGGTACATATGCACAATGGAGTACTATTCAGCCATAAAAAGAATGAGATTGAGTCATCTGCAACAACACGGGTGGAACTGGAGATCATTATGTTAAGTGACATAAGCCCAGCACAGAAAGATGAACATCACATGTTCTCACTTATTTGTGGGAGCTAAAAATCAAAACAATTGAACTCATGGACATAGAGAGTAGAAGGATGGTAACTGGATTATTCACAACTCAATGAATGAATGCTTGAGGGGGTGGATACTCCATGCTTCATGATGTGCTTATTTCACATTGTATGCCGGTATGAAAACATGCTATGTACTCTGTAAATACCCTACTATGTACCCACAAAAGTTAAAGATATAAAAAAAGAAAGGCACTGACCATAGCTGGAGTATTCACAGCATGAAATCTACAAACACTACAAATTAGGACTTTTTTTTCTTTTATTAGAATACAATTGATCTTGCTCTTCCAGTCCAACTACCCCCTAGGTGTCAGGATTATCTTCCTAAAAAGCAAAGACAGTAATGCCAGTATCCACTATCAAAATGGGAAATGGGAAATGCTATTTTTATCAATGTAAGGTCATGACTGAAATACTGGTGAGCAAAGAAGTCTGATCATATCATATATCATATATATCATATCATATATGATATATTTCACATATCACATACATCATATAGATATCGTATATATCAAATATATATATATATATAGAGAGAGAGAGAGAGAGAGAGACAGAAAGAGTTTTGCCCTTGTTGCCCAGGTTGGAATGCAGTGGCATGATCTCGGCTCACTGCAACCCCTGCCTCCAGGGTTCAAGCGATTCTCCTGCCTCAGCCTCCTGAGTAGCTGGAATTACAGGCCATGCCCGGCTAATTTTTGTATTTTTATTAGAGACAGGGTTTTGTCATTTTGGCCAGGCTGGTCTTGAACTCCTGACCTCAGGT